CTTATTTTCTTTTTCTTAACACAATAACATAAATTATTCCCACTGGTGTCACGTAGTTACATACATTCATAGCCATCCATATTGTAAGGCAAATTTAAGCTTGGAATTTGGAAGATTTGGAATTTTAAAGGCTAAACGGAAATTCCAACATAACTTTACAGAAGAGAACCACTTTTAAATGTACATAAGGAGATATATTATTCTTGTGTCTGTTTTACATTGAATCCATGACGCCTGCAAATCATTATTTTATACACAACAGTTTGGACGAATTTTTCTTTTTCTTCTTTATTTCCATTCTTATTTGCGTTGTAGATTCTCACTGAAGGCATCAAAAATATGAATGGACAGGCATGGAATATAACACACACAAAATACCTCAAAACTTGTTTTAGATAAAATAAAATCCCAAAACCACCCTTGGCTTTGTTCACTGGTTTACACTTTTGACATTTCGTAACCCTGACAAGGCACATGTGAAGTAAAAAACATTTCAGGAGCCTTTTACAATGTGAGAAGGCCAAGGGTTTGTAGCACTGTTGACAAAGCTGAGGGTGGCTACTTTGAGGATTTGAATATAAATTATAAAAAATATATACTGGTATTTCACTTTTTTTCTTTGCTACATAATTCCATTTGCTTTTTATCATAAATATAAAGTGTACAATCTAGAAAGAAAATACTGATTGAGAGTGTATGTCCAAACTTTTGACTTATAGTGTATTTTGGAAGTTAGAAATTGCAATATTGATCTAAAACAAAAAAGGCTGAGGCACTGAATTTCTGACTTTTTTCCATCAATACAGTAGCGATTCCAATGCCCTCCTTACATAACAACACTTTATGATTTGATTTCCTGAGGTTAGTAAGAATGGTAAAAGCTTTGTTTATTTGTGAATATTTGGATCCAGGTCAGACGTTCTCTTTCTTTTTTCAGTAGCTTGACAATCGCCAGCGTGTTGTTGCCGTGCGCCCATCTGCACACTTTGATCCGGCTGCCAGCTCAGACTTTGTTCTGTGGGAGCTAGCAGAAGCACAGGGATGTTTATGTGACACAGAGCCCAAGCTGCTTTCTTCTGTTTAAGGAGTGTCACTCAGGAAATGGCTTTATTTTGACTCCAGACACAGTTCAGAAAATCACTGTTTACAATAATAACAATCAGTATGATTTTCAAAGCCTATTTTCTGAAAACAACAGGAAATGATAAAGAAAGTGAAAGAAAACAATGCAATATACATATAAAAGTGCCTTGACAAAGTTACTTCAAGTTAAAGGGCCTGTATTATGTGATGTTCTTATCTGTGTTATAATGCTGTTTATCACAAATACACCCGGAGTTGTGTTTTTGTTTCATTCACACGTTTAACACACAAATCCTGCATATTTAGGATGAGTTCTTCTCTGAAACAGACTCTGTTCCACTTTGTGATGTCATGTGATAATAGAAGACATACTCCATTATGTTTTTCAACTCCATACACCTTCACTAAAATAATTTGGATCATTTCAGGCATGGAATTGCTAATCTCTACAGAACTCAAGGTAAAAGAAGCTGTTAATTTGAAAACTACTTCTTCATGACATCACAAGATGGAAGATAGCATTTTGAGCTTTGGAGATGTAGACAGACTAATAATAAAGGATTACTTTATGTGTGAATGAAACAAAACACAACTCCAGGTATGTTTTTGAGGAGGTACCAGCATTATAACATGGCTTAAAGGTCATAAGAGTCAGTTTGGTGTAATATTTAATTTAACTTTAATTCGAACTTTGACCAATACCTTGAATGCAACTACAACATTGGGAAAGAAAGATAGACATTGGCATTGATGTTTGGCACAAAAATGTGACTCTCCAGCTTAAACTATACATAATAACTTGAATAACTAGCCTCAATAAAGCATGAAGAAATATTTAACTCACAATATTACTATTAAGACATATACTTTATACTTTATTAAGACAGATACTAGATACTTTATTGATCCCGAAAGAACTTCAAATTTTGTCAGATTTTTACTTGCAAAACAAAACTAGTTCATTTTAGTAGGTTTGCTGTGTTCCAAAGTTATTCCTCACATACCTTATGTATTCAGAGCATCCTAAGTATTCACCACCATTAACAGCGTTTATAAGTGCTTTTCACAACTTCCTGATTATTGGACAAGAAAACTTGCTTATACAATATATCTGTACTGGGGCAAGATAAATTTTGCTCCAATACATTTTACAATTAGGGAACAGGGTCTTTTAGAGTGTTGTTATTATGAAGTACTGAACTATTTTGATTTAAATAGTTGTAACACTATTTATTCTTGTTGTCTTATTTCAAGAAGATGAAATACATTGTTTGTTCCCATCTCTCTTCCAAACCCATATTTGTAAATTGAGTGAGTCAGGCCAGAGTAAATATGTGTGGACTTGTGCCCTTGTTCTTCGGAGCTTGGAGGAGACTTGCTGTGTGCGGTTGTTTTATTTATAGTCAAGTGCGGTGATTGCTGCTGTGAGCCTGATGATGATTACACTGCCCACTCTTTTTGGACACAAAAGTGGACTCAATCAATTGCCTCTACTTTGTCACTTTGTAGAGAAAAAGAATGAGAAAGAAAAATAGTGGTTCTGTTATTTTAGAATGTGCTGGAATGTCTAGACACAATTACTAAAGTGGGAAGACTGTACTGTTACTTATAAATGCTATTACTCACAGTGGTATAAAGTAGTGGTCCAGGAAATGATGCAAGTAATCCAAGCCCATTGTATAAACAAAATCTGGTTCCACAGTAATGCACTATATACTAATACAATGCAATATAAATATAAAATCAAACTCTCAAGTATTTAAATCAATAAAGCTAGTAAAGGCAAATAAGAGCAAATGTATCCATAAATAAAAAAGTAAAACCATTACTGCAAATCTATTATTCAAAATACATTTTTCAGAGCTTTTGTCCAAGTTAGAGTTGTTTCCCCTCACCAGTTTCTTACCCAAAGTTGTATTTGGTGTGATTTGTGCATGTTTGAGCAATCCTGAATCGCTTATTTTCAAGACGCCGTATTGCCCATCAGCACCGCCACCAGCACACTGTACGCCCACCGCTCTGCAATTTCCAATTTTATTTTTTTAATCGCATTTACGTGATATGCGTAGGATTCGGCAGTGTTGCGTAATCATTTTGGTATGAATGAAAAAGATTCTGCAACAACTTCACCTCTTTTTGTTGAAATGACGTTTTCGACGACATCAGCTCCCACTGGGCACTGCTGTTTTCTAGTGTGGAAGTCAGTGATATTGTTTCTTTTGTTCAGTTGTTTTTACGTATGCACCGATCCAGCTTTTTCAGCAAATATGTTATGTATCCCTTGAGTAATTAGAGAACAAGTTTGTCTAAATAAAAGTTCAAACATGATGACACTTTTTGGGCCAACTACGGTGAATTTATATTTGAAAACGTATATCCAAACCAGCTAATTTTTCAGTATCGGCGCCAGTATCTGAAACCACTATCTGATCCGTGTATCCCTAGTTGTTTTAGATCAATATTATATTATATTTATTTTTAAAATATCCTAATTATAACATAATAATCCTCAGGTGTCATATTATATAGTAGACACAAGCAAAATAGGCCGCCTTTAAAATAAAAACGCAGTAGAGTAAAAAAAATATTTAGACAACTTGCATACCAAATTCAGATAAGAGTACTGGTTGTGTGATGCCATTATATGCTATTCACTTTGGATCACTGAGGCCTTGTATTTTTTGAGGTGTATAATTTTCAACAACAAGGCTGTGGTATAAAGTTATTTTTCTATCCTTACGTGCACAGTGAAAGCAAAGGTCATATGGTAAACTGCTGCTGGTAATAAATGCTTCTCCAACTTAAAGACCTCTACATCAAGGAACCTGTCTCACAAGCTTTCTTACGTTCACTCATAGATACTGCCAAGGACATTTCCACAGTGACCTGGAAGAACAGGGATTATATTCTGTAAGACATGTCCTGCCCATCCATTAGTCCACTAAAAGAGGCCATGGCAAAAACTCTCAAAACTATTTAGCATCTATATGTATCTGACCCAAACTGCACTCATTTATTTATATGAGGACAGTTTATGTTTTTTTTTTTTACATCTAAATTATTATTTGTATGTAAAAAATAAGTCTAAATATAAGTCTAAATATCAAAAATACCACACCTTTAGCTAATTCACTCACTAACTTCTCATTTCTACTGTCCTATATATATATATATATATATATATATATATATATATATATATATCCTTATAATCTAAATAAAATGATTAGTCATTTAATCAAATCGACAAATGTTGTTTGACTAAGACACCATCAACCGACAAAATACAACAAATTAATCGACAAAATAACTATATAACTACAGCCCTACTATTCTGTTATATAACAACTTTTTGTCCATTGTCCTGACTACCTTACACAATCAAATGAACCATAGTTTCTCTCATTCCTTTGGTTACACCTGAGCAGATGTTACACTAAATACATGAAAACTGTTTTCATGGTGTGAGAAATATGCAACTGTGTTTGTGTTATTGGTTTTGAAAGCTTCTATACACATACTACCAGTGTTGTTGAAAATCAGATACTAATCGATACTAAAACTATTATTAACACTAGATATTCATTTGAAGTATCAATACTAAAACATTCACATTCACAGGACAGAAATTATTATTCTGAATAACTTTAGAATGACCTTGAACTTTATCAAAACAAGTATAAGACCACACAGACTGCTATTATTTTGTGTTACTGTTCTGCTGTCTTTTTTTGTTGTTATTGTGGAATCAAAAGCCTTTTCCTTAGTGTCAAAATGTCACTAACAAATGTTTTTTCAAATGGAGGTGGACAAAAGAGAACTGAAAAACATCCTCTGGGAACTAACGTAACCCCAGTTTTTGTATAATTTGTTTGTGTCTAACAATCATTATTATTGTCAATGTGTTTTTTTCCCAGGGTTTCCATGTAAGAAAGACACCCTGGAACAACATGGACCACAATTAAAGCACAGGCCCACTGTGCTTCAAAGCTGGGGTGAATCTATGGAAAACTACTGTTCTTTCATCACTGCACAAACCCATAACAAAAGCACTGCCACCAGGTATGCTTTACGGGTGCGTTTTAATAATGTTTTTGTATTCTTCACTGGATCCATCAATAGCTGTTTTTGTGGGTATAAAATAACGGCGTCCATTGTCTCTTGCACAAATGGAAAACATAAACTGTGCTATGCTCACGAAGTCTGGAATATCAATCAGTCTGCGAACAAGTCGGAGGTGTCAGTGGAGTAATGGCTTCCGTCTGCCAGGGAGTCCATACCCGCCGCACGTTGGGATTTAAAACAATAATCTTTCCAGCATTATGCCGAGGTAATACGCATAGTCCATTTATCTTTGATTAGATTTTTTGATGCACAGATTCATTCCCCAAGCGTCGCGTTTCATTATTCTTTCTAATTACCTGCACCGATTCGCCGTCAGCCATCGGGACACCAGCAAAGACGTAATTGCTTCTGCCATAAATCAGGAAACATTTGGAGGTGTCTGAGCGCTGCAGTGGCATTAAGGCAAACACACATTGGAGCAGCCTCATGTGCTCTTAGATAAATCCAATCATTCATTTTGACATCTGGATATTTGATGTACACACTGTCTAACCTAATGTTCTGTCAGGGGCTCTACTCACTTTTCCACTTGAAGTTTGACTTTGAGAACTCCTTGAGGTGAATGTCGCTGGCCTTCCTTACACTAACAAGTAGGTTAACCTGATGTAAAGGTGCACTTTGATGTAACATTTCAGGTGGATGGTCCCCCCATCTGCTTGTCAAATTTGTATAGATTCGACCCCACTTGCAGTAAAAATGCAGGTTTTTAAGGTATCGTAGAGCAATAAAACTCAGGTATGATATAAATGCAAGATGGATAAATGCAATGCCATAAATATCATATCATCTTGTGAAGATGCCTATAGAAAATTTCAAACAAAGCTATGACATATTTTTTGAAGAGAGGTAGTGGACCCTTCTTAACCTTTAAAGCAGTCCTTCTATGCAAAATCTACTTTTCCGAGCTTTTGACCATATTATATTTGTTTCCTCTCACCATTTACTCACCTGAAGTTGTATTTGGAGTAATTCATGCCAATTTTGAATTGTGTAATTTCAAGACACCATTTTGCCGATCAACTCCCATTTTCACTGCCACTGGTATATGCCTACTGCTCTGTACTTACTACTTCTATTTAAAATGTGCAAATTATAACAATGACCCATGGGTGTCATAGATTATAAGTACTATATATAGCAGCACAATATGTCTGCACACAAAGGCCCTTAAAGTTGTCACCTTTTAAACTAGCCATAGAACTGATGATGTAATTTAGTAAAACATCTAAAATCAGGCTTAATTAAATTTGAAGAGTAGTCACTAAAATATTCTGTTTTCAATTAAAAATAGATTAAATACAGTGTTATAATTTTGAAATTATAGCTTCCAAGTCATCTTGCAATCCCTATCTCAGTGCCTCACGACCCCCACTTTGGGAACTACTGTGATAGCAGACAATTAAATAGAACATCTGGCACTGATATTAGGCTTACACAGTCACTGAACTTTTCTTTCATTCACACGGCACATTAAACTCTGCATAATCATAGTTATTTATTAAAAAACAACCTGCTAACTTTGAAAGTGTTAATTATACACAACTTTAGCTTTATTTCATTTTAAACCAGTTTCAGTTGATCAATATCCTTCATTTATAAGGTTAAGATCCAATACGTTCTTAAACGTACTGTACACTTCAGTAACATCACAGTGTCTGTAAATGGCCTTCGGACAACTGGAAAATAATTTGGTGTTCAACGTTGTGACCCTGTGTGTTTGGCCATAATTAATAATAAGAATTTGGAAAAATCAGCCACTCAAAGTGCTGTCTCTAGTCATCTTAATATCAAGCTTGGTTTACAAGAACATAAATTTGACTAGAGCCAGGACCAAGCCTCTCTGATGCACAACATGCATGTGGTCAGATCCTTTGTCTTTGTCTCAGTAACTGGGTCAAGATTTGCCTTGTCCCCTCTTAAGAAACAACTACTTTGCATATGTGATTACAGCGCCAGTAAATGATGCATTATGGGCGCAGCTGGATGTCTGACAAGGTCAAGTAATTTGCTCATTGCGTTTTCTGGGGGCAGCTTCCGAAGACTATCTCACAGCTGATGAACTCATGTATAGGTTGTCCTGAGCCCAGAAACAGATCAAAATCTGCCCTGGACTACAGTGCAGACATTTCAGTCCACAGGGTTATTATTGTAATTTAGTTAAAGCATTAGGCAAATCAACAGCTCCACAGCAGCGCAGTGGGGAGACGTGAATTTGAATGAGCCAACTTAAAGCAGACAGAACTGGGGCTAGCCGTTAGCCTCAGGGCCACACTGATAATATATGAAGTTAGCAGCGGCAGCTGAGTAGACAGCAGCGCATTAGTGACCAACCAGTGTCTCTGAGTGGCCACTGTAGTCTCGAAATGGCACGGAAAATCTGCCACATGACACATGCAGTACATAGGGTACTGCAGGCAGGGTATTCAGCTGCAGCTTTGGACCAATGGACGTTGTACTTAAAAAAAAATACTCTGTTCCTCCTTGTGAAAAAACAGTGTTTTCAGTTTGAGAGAATAACTCAACCTAAATATGCAGTGTTTGTGTGTTAAATGTGTGTGAATGAAACAAAAACATCTCCAGGTATGTTTATTTTATTTTATTTCATTTTTTGTTTTTCCAGTTTAAAAAAAAAAACAACATAATGGAAACAAACCCACCCCTCTCTTTACACTCATCACACATTCCAGGTAAGGTAGGTTTTTGATGAGGAAACAACATTATAATATAGATCAGAAAATTGCATAATAAAATAAAGTTAAACAAAAACATAGCATAATAAAATAAAGTAATTTGACAGAATTGACTGAACTGAAAATTACTGTAGTCTAATTTGTGCAGTATTTTCAACTACTTACATTCAGTTATGATTCGAGTTTCTCTCTATGCTGTTGCCAAGTCCAAGGGTAAGGTTACTCCAGGAAGGGCATCTGAAGTAAAATATTATGTGATTCACTCCCAAGGATTAGACACAAAAGGTGCACAGGGCAGATATCTTAAGTAGTTCCTGTTTCATTTTCTTTAGCGGAACAGTTTAAATCGACCTTCATGTTATTCGTTGTATTCTCCAAACTGCTGTGGAATATAAATAGATGAAGTGTTTCCTTTTTAATTAAAACTAAGCATTCTTAGAGTTAATCAATTCAATGTTTTATTTATTTATTTCATTTTTACCTGCAGTGTTTTGTTTGGGATCTCGGAATGGTGATTTGGACAAAACTGAATACAAATGTGCAATGGAACCAAAAGGTCTTTTATTCATTCAATTACTCAGTCAGTTCAGGATTTTTGTATTCTGTTAGTGCGGACTGCTGCTCACTGACACTGGACTAGGCCAATTTTAAATATCCATCCAAAAATACAGAGGATAAGTTTTTTTTTTTCCACTCAGTGTGATGTTGCCAGTCCCGGTGCAGTGTCCTGGGCAGATCTGGTGACATTAGTCTGACCTTGGTGAAAAGTATCTTGTCTGAAAATGTCCCTCTGCCTGGTCATGATCAAAACACTTTGTGCAACTTTAACCACTGGACTCAAATAAGTGAATGAACAGCAGGTGATGCAAAGGCTAGTCACTGTGGTCTGATCAGGAAGAAGAAGAGGATGGGATACATAAATGAAAAAAGGGCATTACAAATAATTATTTTAAAATCCTATGCAAAATAAAAAGAATTAAATTTGTAATAACTTGCACAGACTGGTGCAGACACTAATAAAAAGGGATGGTTTAAGCTTAGAAGCACACATTATGGATGGGACAATATCAGATTTTAGTTTTGTTGTGAAAGAAACCTCACAATTATTCACAATTTTTGACACTATAACAAAAAAAAAAGTTAATATTCTCACTATGAATAGATGACTAGTCCATTCGTTGACTTTGCTCTATGAAATCAAATGTTCTGATTGATAAACTAAAGTTAATGTGACATAAATGCTTTATATTAGAGATGGCTATGGGCCTTCAGTCTCTAAAATAGACCGATATTTTGTTTGGGCCAGTCAGCTGCCAAAGAATATGCATAAAGTTTTATTTGAACATTTTACTATGAAGAGGACACTGCACAAAATGTGATTACACTTTTCTCATACCCAGTTTAAACATGGTTGTGGATGAGTTTGGGGAAAATAATTAAAATCGGCTTTACATATAGGTCCAAAAATATCGGCAGAGATTATCTGCTTGATCATAGTGGTTTTAAAGTGTGCCTTTTATTATATGTATCTTTAGTTATCTTTATTTCTTTTAAGCAAAGTTCACTTGATCAGTGTATTTCATTTATCAGACATTGGTCCAGTCATTTCTTAAATTCTTACAATTGTCTTTTGTTTTAGCATTTTCCTTTAAGTTTTTCATTCACATCTGTGCTTTTCATTCACATAGTGCTGTCTATAAACTGGCTTTGTAGGTCTGGATCTGCAATTGGTCATGAAGAGACCCATATCGGTCAATCTTTACTGTATATTCAGTTTTACTTATTGAAGTATATTCAATTGAAAATAGTGTTTTTTGCTTCTAAAATTCTCCCAGTTATATATATTTTTAAGTTCTTAGCATTATGTAAAGTTGGGAGGATTTGAACCAGGGGGAGCACATTCTGCCTACCTTTAGACTGATCCTGCCCTGCTTCTTAAAGCAGTTATGTAACAGTGGAGACTTTTGTTTCTAGTTGAGCTAAGAGAGAAAACACAACTGCCTATGTATTGACCATAGTAGCTTCTGTGTACGTGTTGTAACAGATAACAGAAATGGTTAGCTTGGTCTTTTTAATTAAACACTATGTAGGTTGTTTTTTTGATAAAAGGAATGCTCTGCTAAACCCATTAAGCAGATAAATTGTTAGTGAAATGGAAGCTGCAAGTGACTACCTTTATCTCAGGTTTGCCTGTATCAGCACTTCAGTGGCCATCCCTCTTGTGCTGCTCAAACAATGAGCTTTGTC